TTTCGATGAGGTAGCGCTGCACTGAACCTGACAAGTTGTTGAGACTAATGATCGAGAGCGTGAATACCTTTCACATCCCAAAGATCGCCTAGTTCATTCGCCATTTTACATCTAGGTCATTTTCATTCGCTGTTTGCTCAATTCCGAGTCCGAAATCACCAACCTGAGGTCGCGCAGAATCGCGAAAAAATAGTTCATTCACAAGGAAATGGCATTCATCAAACAACTCCGCTGAATTCACTGATAAGTATCAATGACTGAAGTGAGCAGCAGTCTTGTGGTTATTTGCTCTAAATCGTCACTCTGTCTACGAGCGGAACACATTCACAAAAAATAACAACTCAAGCGAAAGACGTGTCATAAATTGATCGCAAATTTTCAATTACTACATCTTCTATCTCCATTCTGCAATAATTATCACCGTTTCAGGCATACGTGTATCGTGACTATACTGTTGTTAGTTGGTTCCTACCAATACCAGTTCGGAAATAATATGTTCAGGGTTACCGTGATTCTATCAGCTGTACTTCTCCATCAAGGTATGTTAGTAGATTAACTTTGAAGAACGACTGACTATTCCATATTTCGCGTCACAAACGCTTTTGATTGTGCGTGTCTGTAGGAGAAATTTTGGTTGCGGGTTCGAAATAGTTATCTTTATGCATAAATTTCGCAAGTCCACAGATTCTAATGCGAGGATGCAATGACTTGCAGTATTGCGATCCTTGTACCCTTCAGGTGTTAATTTGGGAACCTAAGTGCACCAATTTTAATTCCCAAATTGTTTGGGAAAGACATATGTGAAACAATGTTCTCTGCTGCTAGAAACTGAACCTTGCATCTGTTGTGCATCTAAACCAGTGATAATCATTCCAGCATGGGCGAGCATACATCTTGTATTCGATGTGAATTCACCAGCGGTTGTGGGAGGAAATGATGCATCAGCCATCGCAAATGGACTATCTGGTACTGCAGGCAGCCAAGAAAATTCAATTCTCAAGAATCATGCACATAATTTCGACGATTTAGATAATACGAGGCATCATGTCAATTCGCAACACACAATAACGCATACCACACAAATTTCTGGTCATTCGCTACTAGCGGGTCTACACCCGGTA